TTATTTTGCAAATTTTAAAGAGATAATCTATATTGGAATTGTACATAGAAAAAATAAAGTTTCATAAATAATCATTTTTGGAACATTTACTGAATTTGTTTTCGTAACAGCTCGAGTTTTAATAATTCAATTTCAATATTCTTTTTCTCCTTCTCCAACTCGTGTATCTCCTGCTCCCTGACATCTTCATTTTTTTTCAATTCCAGTTCGTCCTTCATTGTTTCTACCATGACTTTGTAATAATTTTCTTCCGCATCTCCTAATGAACTCTGCATAACAGGTCGCAGCTTCACAAAATAAACAAAGTATTTAAAAATTCAGAGGCAGGGAAGCGCGAAAACGAACCAGAACAAACTCATTTAACCCCACTTCATGTACGCTCAGTGATGCCAACTATCATTCAATGCAAGAAAACCGCACTTTCAGTAAAGGCGACTTTACATTCGATTATGGAACACCTGGAACATTTGAAGCCGACTTTTGAGAAAAGGCGCCTTCTGGTAAAGTGTGCTTTCGACCGATATTATGGAACCGGGCCTAATACATTGCTGGGTTACGTAATAGTCTGCAGTTTTTAATAATTTGAATGCAATAAAATTCCTCCATTCAATCCTGGTTAGACCGACAGTAGATTTTACTTCAATTATTTGGTTTACAGAATTCACTCACGGAATGTAGTCGAGAAAGTTCAGAAGAAATTCCTGAAGTACTTGAACTTCAAGAAGTATTACATAAAGACCTCACTACACTTCAGCCAGATCAGTTGCTTTGAGAACAGAATTCAAAATACTTTTCCTACATCAACGTCGACACACATCAGTTTTGATGTTCCTGTATAAAATACTGAATAATAAATCATCAGTCCTGAAATCCTCACACTAATTCCTTTCAACTTATTCTGACACACATCTTGAACATAGCTGGTTAATGAATTGTCCGAAGTTTCCGGGTTTATAACGTAACGAAACGATTAATAACGAAAATGAGACTTAGTGCCCTTTTAGCATCACCTGTGTTTTTTATTTGTCGATTAATTTTGTTTCTGTACCGGTCACTTGATAGATTTCCAGAAACGCATTCTTCAGATGACACATTTCCTCTTGTAGCCTTTCCGGTTAGCATACCTGGACGAAAAATGGAGCACCACTACTGAATTCCCAGAAGCATCAACTCTCATACAACGAGTCGACCGAAGACATAAACTTCCATATACACCTAATCGGGCCAGGTGACGAGGGCGAGTACGTTAGCAACGCCAAGAACCAGTACGGAGCAGCAATATGCCTCAGAAGCAAGTGTTCCCAAATTTTGAACAAAGCACTGTCTATTCTAACGGAACCACAATCACCGAAGACTCCAAAATCGACACTTTCAAATACAGACGGCTGAGGGAGGTGTTCTTTAGGGAGTCGATCACAAGAAGAACGACCTACGAGAAAACTCGCAGATATCGACGACAGGTTGGTTCCCTGTGTATTTCATGCACTAGTCTGTCATTCTCCTGTCTTTTTTCTAATACATCCAGAAAAGCGATTCTCCCTTCATTGTGAACTTGATTTTTGGATTTCAAGAATTCAAATGTCCTAGAAATTTTACCAATTCTTCTTTTCCTTGACCCCGATCCACGAAGTAACATCAGCATATCGTAGCCAGCAGGGGTATCTGACCGGCGAAAGGTCTAGAGCTTATCGTTCGAATGGTTCCATTAGAAGTTGTCAACTACCGGACTTAGTGGACTTCCCATTGCAACTACTTATTTTCGCTGATTGCATTCATATCCCGCTGGGAGTATGTTGATGTTGGGCAATCATCGAATAAGGTGGTGCTGTCTAGAGGAAAGAAACCACTGATGAGTTGCAAAGTTTCACTAACCGGAACCATTGTGTATAGAGATACATCAAAACTCACCAACATGTCATTAGGAATCAGTATCAAATCGCGAATCTCCTCAATGAAGTGATCGGAATCTCTGTGGCTGTAGAACTTGGACATCTCATATTTCGGAGACCCTATGCACTGACGATCGGCCCTTAAGTCTACGCAAAATGCGACAGGACGGCACAGGACGAGAACATGACGCAGCGTAGCCTTCGAGCGGAGACAGCACGGCATTGGCCTGGCCGTCCTGTAAACGTCTTGGCATGTGCCTGCCCGTTGCCTGTCTGGCTTGTGAATTTTCGATAGCCCATAAAAACGAGGTGGTAATGTCTCGCTTCTCTGTAATGCTCTCTTCACATCCTGGTTGATAGATGATGCACAAATTAGCTGCAAGAGGCAGTTGGTCGAATCTCGCTTGAGCACGTTATATGAAGATGAATAGCCTAAGATGAAAAACAGAGGTTGCATCTTTCGATGCAACCAACTGATCTTCAGCCTTTTCCGTTTCAGTAAATGTTCACATTTATTTATTGTATCATTCTGAAATTCCATCAGGAATTTTACCACACGCATCGAAAACTGAAATGAAAATGGAAACTGTTTACAGAATTGTGAATAAAAAAATATATTTTTCCGATTGAAAAGTGAGAAAGCGTAAAATGAGTGTTTTTAATGGCATATGAGAGTGATAATTTTTACACAAAATACAAACATTTTTTGTACAACTGTGAATGTAAATTTACATCGTCTGAAGTCCCGATAAGTTAACTCTTCTAAACGACTGTTGTCTTGAAAATATTATTCGAAGTTTTCAGTAAAATCGTATTCAAACATTTTTCCTGTCTGGAAAAAATAACAGCAAAATAACTAAATATTACTTCCCTTTCCCATACATTTTATCTTTATCAATACTTCTAATACAATTTCACAGCATCCAGTGGTCTTTCTAGAAACGGTTGCTTCGGTTGCTTTTCAAAAAGATGGATGCTGATTATAATAGTGATATCTGTTTTAAAAAAAATGCAATAGTATCTAATATGTTACCGGCCAAATCCAAGTTAGTATATGAGAAAATTTTTTTCCAAAAAAATTATCCTATCAAATTCGTCTATTTCTAGTCATGTGTGTCGAAATAACCAATGAAACCATCATTACACTGATAACTACCCATGGATAGTTTTCACGGGTAGTTATCACTTATGTCATGACATTGCTAAGCAACCAACACAATAAAGTTGTTTGACATTTCAGTAATTCAATTTATTTCGAAAATGTCACTTCCTCGCTTTGGTGTTCAAAATGATGCGGCAATTGACAAAATCATTGAAGAAAATACACCAAAAAATACTGTCAATAGTAAAAAATACACTTGGAAAATATTTATGGAGTTTTGTGACGCCAGAAAATATGAATTGGATGGAAATCGTACTCTCGAAGAGCTTGCATTAATACTCAAGGATTGGGCGATTAATATGAGAAAAAAGGATAGCACAGAGTTTAAGGAGGCTACTGTTAAAACCGTATGG